TCTTCCATATAGCTGTTCCTTAGCACCTAGAAAGAAATGTAGCTTTTACTTATCATCACAGTCTCTAAGATACATATTAAGAAACAGAGGTATACGTCTCAATATTAGTATCAAATATTATCACAACTAGATGATATTTCATAGCGTATATTTTACTAAGATATCTCAGTAGCAACTTTCTTCGTTAGATAATAATTTTAACATATAAAAAGTTAGAATTCATTAGCCATTGAATCGGGTCCAGTGGCTGAATGGTTTACGAGCTTGCCTTGTAACCAGAAGGTTCTGAGTTGGAACCCTGTTGGTGGTTGCGTAATGTCGATGATTCCCAAACTAGGATAAAACAGCTGTCCAGCACTCCAGTGCTGGTTTTCAATGGTTCTCCAAATGACATCAGTCCGTGATCAACTTAGAAAAAATGTAAATGCACGCAGTTTGAAGCATATAGGGACAAATATCCGGACGCGATTAACAGCTTTAGAAAACACAGACTTAATTATATTGTCTAGAAGATATTGTATCTATGAAGTAGTTTTACTCAGGTGAGCGAAGGCATTATAAATCAGTGATTCAATTTCTTGTCGTTCACCAGCCTCTAAAGAAGAGTGCATTAAGGTTTGATCGCTAGCTAAAATCATTTAGGGAACCACTGGGAAACCCATGAGAATGCGATAGCTATTTCGTCCCATTTTGAGATTTTTCATCAGCAAGCAGCCAATAGGGTCCGAATCCAGGATCTCCGGTTACAAAGTGAGCTCTTAGACCATTCAGCCATTGAAAGCTCATCCAAAGATCTGAGAATTTCAACTTTTGCTGACTTGCGGTATATCGTTTAACCATATGCATCATATGTGTGTGTTACTGTTCTTAGGCCTAATCGGTGAACCCCACTGGTAACGAATTCTCACTACAACTCAAGGTTACTTCTTGTACAAAACTAGAAGCTAGCTGAACTCAAATTATTTAATGAGTGCAGACTTGCAGCGATTTGATTAGTTACAGTTTTGGTCACGGGCTGAGATCGGTTAGAGAACTGCATTGGTCAATCATCATTGTGTCTTATATGAATCGTAGGAATTAAGACCAGACACTTCCAAATAATACTGTCACTCTGTCCAATCGGTGAAGAATTCCATTCCACTAAATTTGTAGAATGTCATTCAGGTTTCAGTCTTTTCTTCAGGAATAGTTTTAAATATCTATCACTTTAATAATTATTAGAAATATTTACGTTTTATGCTACAACAATGGAAATGTGAGAATGTCATTTGAGTATTAACTATTAACTGTTTTAATCTGATGAGGAATGTCTAATCCATAGAAACCATGAAATTTCAAAGAAGGTAATAATTCTGAGTCATCGGATACTTTAAAACTATAAAACTTCGCTTGTTCAACTCTGTAAACTTTAGGAAGGAGAGAGAGAGAGCTAATGAGCAATTAAAGATGAATTATTTTACTGACACATAGATTACTCTTTATGATAATAATAATCACAATAATACGTAGACGACCAAGTCTTCAAATATTACTTGCGTCCTTTAGAAGAAATCAACATCGTACAATGCACTGATGATCTGACTGTCGCGGTGCCAGTCACGTCCCAATATGACTATTTCAAATTCAATAGTTTTTTGTAGAACATAAGCCAGCGGTCTAAGTTACACGGACTTATGTTACATCCCTCTGAATGTCAGAGAGTTGACTTCGCATTCAAGCATAAACGTGATCTCCACGTGATGCTTTTAGTATTGACAGTACTAAATCAGAAACTCAGTCAAACAATAAATACCTCGAGAATAGTTCTTCCTTCTGACATTTTATCGTCTGATCGTTCACACTAACAAAATTAGGACAGTCGTATGTCATTCAGCCCACAGTTTTTCAGTATGTTAATTCTTCCATTTTACCCATCGTTCTTCATTGCTACTTGTTAGTCTTTTCCGGAATACTCATAAAGGACTGTGTCATATGCTGAACGGTATTAAAGATTATCATTAGGCTAAGAGGTATGCCACTGTGTCAGCTGATCACTACTATAGTAGCCCACTATCTGAATTCAGAAGAGAAATGGTCTAAATACACATTGTCTGATTCACAACACCCTCTCTATTCACGATTCTCTATATGAGAAAGAAAGCGGTAAGCGTAGGACTCACAACTTACTATGAAATTAGCAGAATAAATGATTCTTTTATTTCCTCCTATTTGTAGTTAATAATGACACCATTTCAACTGTTTTATCTTTTTACAAGTTTGATCACGGATTGATATCAGTTAAAGAATCATTCGAAACCAAGGAATACTAGGATAAAAGAGCTGTCCAGTCCTGCCTGGTTTTCAATAGTAGGCTAACTGATATCATTCCATAGTAGAACTCCTAAAAAGGGATCTAATCCTTACACACCAACTCTTGGAAACTATTTTATCATTTTAGTTATTAATATCATTATTACTATTACCGCATTTTTGAATTTATTGTTAACGGCAATACCAAAAAGTTGATATTATCAACTCTTGGAGATTATACTGATGTTCGCTAGTGACTGGAAATCGGATGAAGGTGCCTGGAGTTCTGATGAAAGCTGGTGACCAGTGGGGTCCAACTGGTTAGGAGTGAGGACGAATACCCGCCAGTGACATTGGTTGGTGGTCGATCTCTCTATAATTACGAATTGGTAGAGGTTAGATTTGATGGCCCATTAAATTGGGTTGCGGTAGTTGCATAGTATATATTTTTTTAATTTTTTTTGATTTACAGCTTGATTCCACACTGTATTTTTGGTACAAGTATGGAATTTTCAGCATGGATATCGGTAGCCCAAATTTTGCAGGCCGACCATAGATATCAGGTGTGCGTCGGCGTGGGCTCGAACCCCGGACCATGTGCATGGTCGGCGAGAGTCCTAACCACTGTGCCACCGACGGACCGACGACCTTCCCTTGTAATCAGAAGGTCTTCAATTCAGACCTCAGTGGGTAGGTACTGCCAATGATTCTCAAACATTGAGACAAAACAGCTCTTCAGTAATCACTCTGGTTTTCATTGGTTCTCTAACAAATATCAATCTTTGGTCAAACTTGCAGCTGATTTCATTTGAGCTGTATAAGCTAGTAAAGCTCTACATACTAATTTTACTATATCAAAATTGTATCAGTCGTTTAACCGCTTTTTTTAAATATACATTAACTGGTATACTCCTTGTTGGCTATCACTACTAATCAATATGGTTTTAATTTCCAGAGAAAATTATTTCCTGTCTAGTTTTAATGCCTAATAGTTTTCAGAATTTCTTTGTCTATTGTGATAGAATGATGTATTATGCATTTTTCAACCACAAACCTACACTTATTAATTACATGCTAACAATTTGCATGCATTTTCACATAGAATGTGACCATTTCATCTGTCTATACGATAACGTCATGAATTGTATTTGCATATTTAATTGAGCTCGAAATGTCATTATTTCATTAGATATTGACTGATTGTATCATTGTATGTTGTGGGAAGTAAAAATAGCTCCATTATGGAAGAGATTAGTCTAGCCAACCGCGGAATAATACTTATTAGTTCCGGGTAGTATTAATTCGTAAGAGATGCCCAATTACACGGACAATCAAAGCATATAATATCCATAATGAGATCATAAGTGTGAATTTGACCTATGATATGCTTATATTGATTACAGTTGCTTTGATCAGACACTAGGCACTTGTTATTCAATGAGCGCGCATACTATCAGTCAAGTGGACAGCATATTAATTCACCATCATGGTGCACTGTGAATTGTTTCTGGTAGATGATTTAATTATAATAATATTATAATTAACATCTAACTTCTACCAATTCTTGATTTGGCGCTACTCCAAGCATTGTCGTTGGTGGGACGTCCATCCACACACATGACATCTAATTGGACCTCACTGGTAACGACTTCTCAATAGGACTCCAGGAAACTCCATCCTGTAGCAAGTCACTAGCGAGCATCCAATTAAAGTTCCACTCGAGGGCTTGTCTAGTGATGTCACTCGCCAGTCTCCTGAGAGTATGTATGGCCAAGTCACCTTCATTTCTTCCTGCTTATTTGTCAATTAATAAGTTCTTGGTTGGTTTGCTCCCGGAGATCTCTGTTGCTGATCTTTTCTAGCCATCTGATCTTGAGTGTTAAGTGAATACAGCTATTGACGAAGGTCTGTAGTTTGTTTGATGTGTCCTTTATGACGCACCAAGTCTCTGATCCGTATAGTAGCACTGATTTCAAACTTAGCCTAGTGACAACCTTTAATATCCTTTGCAATACAACATAGTCGTTTTTGAGTGATCCAGTAACGACTAAGAGTCAGGGGGCGATAAAACTCAGTAGGTAAGATGGAGCAGTCAGCAGACTGAAAGAGCAGAGGTCGACGGATATCTGGTTTCTACATGTAGTAGGTTAGACAGAAGATTCTCTTAAAATTTGACAATATATGGAATGAGAAAAAAAAGTACAAAGAACTATTCCAAGGTATTTAATGCTTGAATAAGGCTCTGTTTTAGTTAAATCTATGCTACAAACCTCTTGTGGTCGAACAAGTCCGCGTAGATCACGTTTTTACTTGAATGTGAAGTTAACTGCCTGACATTTGGAGGGATTTAATGTGAGACCATTTAGCTTGAACCACTCATTAGCTTATGTCCGACAATCGGGGTGTGAGTTGCGATAAGACGTTGAAATGTGTCGCACACCAGCAGAAGCAATAAATTGTTTTGTTATAAGAGAGTCTAAGGCGTTTACTCTATGTCATTTTTTACTAACTTTATCGTTAACTACTTAAGATCACTTGTCTTAAGTGGAACAACATTAACTAATTGCCCTTCCAGTTTCAAATAGTTTTGCTTTAAAATATATAATAATATTTTCTTGTATTGATTAGAAATATACATTCATCAGTTAACAGTCGACATTTCTGTTAATTCTCCGTCACCTTCTTATACCCCTGTTTTATTGTTTTTACAGATTTCAGATGAATATTGATGACTGAATAGGCGAGTGAATTCAAAAACAGAAGATTTTTATCGTCAAAAAGTTGCCTATCTATCCTTATTAGTAAACACAGCTGTAAATGTTGTATTATCTATCTACCTATGTATCTATCTATCTATCTATCTATCTATCTATCAGCTTACACTCTGATTAGCCTACAGTTTCTTTTTTTTGGAATGTTTGAATTGTTCAAAATTTTGAGCACTGAACATTGGACAGCAAAATAGAGAACCTTTTGTTTTGCAATAACTAACTGCATGATTGACTGACTGAATAGATTTATAAAATAACACAAAAAGTCAATGAACTTTGTATAATTACGTTTTGTGTTTTGCGAAATGATATATATATATATATATATATATATATACATATACATATATATGTGTATGATAAGCGGAAGTTAAAAATTGGTTTCAGTTCTATTCAGCATAGATTCACTAATGAAGCATTAAGCATTAAACCAAAAAAGAACTATTTCCTGAATAATAATAATGATAATTTATTTGTTTAAATCGCGATTCCTGTTTCCTGTGAATTTCACTCGAATTCTCATCTTGATTCAGTATGATTGAGCTGTCTTTATGCATTAACATGTATATTTTTTAGGCTTATGAATGTTAGAAAGTGCTGCCTGTTAGATAGATAGTTTAAAAATAATTAAGCTTTATACCACAAATTTATAACACAAATTTATGGGTTATTTTGTCTATAGAATGTTGATGGAGCTCAGAAAATCAGTAAAAACGCATTCCTTTGTATATATATATATATATATATATATATATGAATCTAAAAGAAGTGACTTCCTCTATCTACCTACCTGCTTATCACCTATCTACCCACCTGCCTAACTACGTACCTAAGAAGTATCGTTTTAACTACAGGCGTACGGAACTGATGAGGATTACAAAGTAGCTACGATCGGGAAAGCAAGGTAAGTCTGTGTGGAGATCAACAACACTCAGCATGAAAATAAGATCCGGATTTATAACTCCACTGTAAAGCCATTGATACCATATGAATCAGACACTTGACACCATGCCGCGTCACGAAGGCCACTTTGAACAATCTATAGAATTTCATCAACAGCTGCCTTAGCTCAATATTCAAGATCAGATGGACAATCAGAAAAGATCACCAATAGGGATCTCTAGCAATGAAGGGACCAACTCAGCAGGAACCGATTATGCAACAAATATGCAGGAAGAAATGGATGTGGATTGGCCATACTCTAAGGAAACAAACTACCGAGTGAGTGACATCATGCGCCAGGCCATCACTTGAGTATAATCCGAATGGGAAGCGGTTAGTTGATCGTCAGTTGGAGAGTGACATGGAGGAGGTGATGTGAAGAGGAGATTTAAGCATGTAGGTAGATGTGGAGTCCCGTGAAAACGTTGGCAGAGAACAGATCGCGATGGATATGTGTGGCTGAAGCCCTATGTTCCTCTAGGAATTAAAGGAAACAATAAAAATAATTATTATTACTCCTTTGGATTCCAAGTAAAACGTAAGGCTTCAGTAGAACATCTCCACTTTAGAAAACAGAAAGATTGAGCGAAGAAATATTTACTTTTCAATTAGTTCCTCATCTCTGGCTCTACTCTAATATATATATATATATATAGCATTTTGATTACAATACACAACAATTTACCAATCAAGTGGCGATAAGTTTGTTAACAACAATTAAACAGTGTCAACATGTCAATGGGTTGATAATTAACGAAGAAAATCAATACAGATTTGAAAGCTAGAAATGGTTAGAATAAATTAATTTTACAAGGATAACACGTAAATTAAAGATGAAGTGGTCGAAATAAATAAAAATAAAATAAATAATTTAGACAATTATAATTTTTGTAGGTTTTGAGGGAGGGGGCGACGGAGTCCTGTTTATGCATTCTTGTGACGATGGCCACGGTAGGGAAAGTGGCTGTACACATTTTGTTCTGTACACATAGGCTAGGCTTCTTCAGGTGAATTCCGATTTCTTCAGCCGTCTGTAGAAGATCAAGTCGCAGAGCAAAATTAAGATAAGTCGGAATGCGATAAATAATTTTAAATGCTGTATTAACATCAATCTTATGCTCAGTATCAACGAGGTGGACTAAAATAGAACTACAAATAGATCTTTATTGTCCCTTGCTTAACCGCGTTGGATGGTGTTTGGAAATACGACGATGAACTTGCCTAATTGTACGCCCAATGTATCTGGCTCCGCAAGAAACAACGTACCTCTGCTGCATAATGAGTTCTTTAAACTGCATTCTCCAGGCTCTGTGTTATTATTTCGCTGATGTTGTCACCAACGAACTGCAATTTTATGAACACTGGGTTTTTCAGAACTGTAGCCATACTGACTCTCCTTGGTGCTGAATTTATATTTTTATCAATGAATTTATCTGGATAACCATTTTTTCTAGGTAATTCTCTAATGATCTTAAGCTCCTTATTGAGGCAGTCATCTGAACAGATTAGCCTGGCTCTATGAACCAGACACTTCACGAGGTTACGTTTATATTTCAAAGGTAGAGAACTCAAAAAATGAGTATAATGACCTGTTGTTGTAGGTCTCCTATACACACACCTGCTAAGTGGGCCATCTTCTTTCCTTGCCATGAAGATTTGTTAAAATTAGATACTGTCATTACTTTCTTTCTCTATGGTAAAGTTTATTGCTGAATGTGCATCATTAAACTTCTCAAGGATGTTCATTGCATCATTCTCATCTTTCATAACCACAAATTAAATATTCCCATAATTTATTCAGAACAAAATATTCAGAGCGAACAATTGTTTTCAATAAATTCTTCTTCAGGCTGTACAATTATAAATCCATTAATGTAAGCATACAATAGCCAGTAAAGGCGAATTAGAATCATATCATCTCATTCTGTCCCATGTTGTTATTGACCATGCATATTAAAAAACTATATGACTATATGACTATTGTTTCATCCCATCTTATACTTGTTCCACAATACACTTTCTGATATGATTCTAATTCGCCTTTACTGGCTATTGTATGCTTACATTAATGGATTTATAATTGTGGAGCCGGAAGAAGAATTTATTGAAAACAATTGTTCGCTCTAAATATTTTGTTCTGAATAACCACAAATGTATCATCCATATATCGACAGTAGAAATCCATGTCATTAATTACTCCTTTCAGTGGTCCATTGTCTAATTTAGCGAGGAACAAATCAGCTAGGATTGGACCTAATGGGGAACCCATAGCTACACCATCAGTTTTCCTGTAATATTCATTGTTGAATAAGAAATGAACATTCATTGTACATCTTAAAATAAGTTCCTTCAAGGTGGATACAGAAATCCCAATATCTATGTTTCGTGTAGTAATCTCCTCACATATAAAATCCACTGTCTCCATTAACAGTACATTGGTGAACAAGGAGGATACATCAAAAGATATCATAAACTTGTCCCTCACATTAAGATCTCTTATTGTTTCAACAAACTCAAAACTGCCGTTCACGCTAAGTTTTAACACTTCATTATGCAGAGGCTTTATCCAGTCCTCCACAGATCTCTTCAACTGACCGAACAATCGTCCATACGTTCTTATCTTCTCCTCAAACCATCTACATGTTAGCCAAAAACTTATGACTGACTCATCATTTCCCATCGGGATTTCACTCGACGGCTGGCTTGAATAGCAGTGTCGTTCCATGATCTCTTCGGTGTTGGCCAGTCCATCTTCATTTCTCATCCACATATTCACAGACTGGTAGACTCTTGTTTGGTTATTTCCCATAGTTTCTTATTACCAAATATTTCTCCTTGGGGATCAAATCTTCATTATGGAGCTAGAAAGATGGCAGCTGTTGAGGGCAGTCTGCAGCAGTATGTTGGAATCGCTTTTTCTGACGCTCTAGTTAAGCTTCTGACGCATGTAAGACAACTGATCGACTAATTTACCACTGGTGTAGAGGGCGGCAGACTTCCAAACTGATTAAAGATTAATGAAAGTTTGTCTTACCACTCGGATTGTGGTTTCGCCAGTCTCATCCCTGCCGACTGTCTGTAATTGAAAAGATGTTGACAGGATAAGTGAACGAAGGCACTACTGTCAGGCTGCTCTTATTAAAACAGACAGGTACAAATCTATTAGCTAATCCCTTGGTGTAAAATCTAAGACTGTTTTATTCACAAAAAGATTTTTCAGTTTTCCACCTATATCTGTAGGCATTCAACCATAAACAACGTGGTATTATTCTGTTGCATGTTAAGAAGATTAACAATGTGACGTAGATAATCCATGCGTAATGACTACAGAACTCTGTCAGAAATTTCCAGTGATTTCAGTGTTAAATAAACGAAATAACTTGATTGCGTAAATCATCACAATATTTATAGATTTCAGCGGAAGAAACTGCATTTCGCTATTTTTAGAAATACAGTGTTTTCATCATTCACTTTATTCATCGACACACATGATATAACACCATCTGCATTATATGGTTATATATAAATATATATATATATATATTGTTAGCTGTAATCAAACCCCTTCATCAATACGAAAACAACAACACTTTTGATGATACGTGCGCCTATCATTTACGTACACATCTAAGCTTGCCGAATACATGAAATTTACAAGCCCACACAGCGTTGTCGACAGGTTGCGCGCGGCACATTCTCAAACAACAAGATAAATCATTTCCAGATGTTAAGATCTTATTTACTGAAGGATGACTGGCTTTAGTGAGTGTTATTTGAAGAGGGGTTTCCGATAAATGAATGGAATATTCGCGAGGTCAGCGTTCTGCATCATCATTCTATAACTGCGATCAACATGCATGTTTATTTGCATTTATATTTACTGATTGGTTTTTATTGGTAATTTACGCTCGTCTTTATCCACAGAAGAAATAAACTTTTGAGAGAAAAGAAGAAGAATCGTGCCTTAATAACTTTTTGTTCTCTAATTTCATTACCTGGTGTTTTCAATGTCCTCCTTTTTAGCGTTTGAAATTCATAAGAAATTCTGCATTTTGACCTTATTATATTGCACATCTTTTCGTCTGACCTCTTGAACACCAAATGTTGATCTGCTCCTATCTAACCACGTAATAGTTAATAATATTTTATTACCAACCTACCAACAAAATTTGCCAAGAAACTATTCTCCAACAAGATGTATATATATACGCATTTTCATTATAATAATGCAATGGGAGGCGATCTCGTCCAGGATAATGACCGCCAGATTCAACTCCAAAGGAAGGAAAGTGCCAATTTTACAATGTTATGCACTCATAAACAACGCAGACCTCGAAAAGGAAGAAAGATTCTACAGTCAACTACAGGCAGCAATGGACAATACTCCGGC